AAGAGACTCGCTTGAGCCCAGGAGTTGGAGGTTGCTGTGAGCTGTAATGCCACAGCACTCTACCCAGGGGGACAGCTTGAGGCTCTGTCTCAAAAATAATAATAATAATATTTTAAAAAGAGCAACAGACTACATAGTACCATATCTAGTATTTCTAATGGGAACTCGGGGATTATACTGATACTTATGCAAGGCTCTCCCACTGATATTTATACTTAACTCCTGCCATTCTTTCACTTACCACCTGCTTTGTGTCCACCCTGTGATAGACATTATGTATGGACTATACAAGCACCAGAGTTCAATCAAATAACACCATGTACAAACTATTCTGTCTGAAAATATTTATCAAGCATATACTCTGGGAAAAGTAGTCATGCAACAACTACTTATTGCCACCTGATAATCATAATAGCTATTATAGTACTTACTACATGCCAAGTACCATGCCAAGTTCTTTACGCATATTAAGAGATAGGCATTAGAGAGTTATTTACAATAACTATTAAGAAATAGGCATTAGAGAATATAAATCGACTTGCTCAGAATCATACAGCTAGACAGTGATGAATGTGGAATTTGGTTTTTTTTTTTTTTTTTTGAGACAGAGCCTCAAGCTATCTCCCTGGGTAGCGTGCCATGGCATCACAGCTCACAGCAACCTCCAACTCCTGGACTCAAGCGAGTCTCCTGCTTCAACCTCACAAGTAGCTGGGACCACAGGCGCCCACCACGACACCCGGCTATTTTTTGGTTGCAGCCGTCATTGTAGTTTTGGCGGGCCCGGGGTGGATTTGAACCCGCCACCTTAGATATATGTGGCTGGTGCCTTAGCCACTTGAGCCACAGGTGTGGAGCCAGGATGTGGAATTTGAATCCAGGCAACCAGCATTTTCCACCACTGTTGTCCTACCTCCCACCCTAAGCAGGCACTGGGTATACAACAGTGAATAACACAGATGTGATCTCTACCCTCAAGATGTGTACATACAGGAAGGGAAGGTAATCTTTATTTTTTTGTATTTTTGAGACAGAATCTCACTCTATCACCTTGGGTAGAGTGCTGTGGCATCATAGCTTGCAGCAACCTCAAACTCCTGGGTTTCAGCAATCCTCTTGTCTCAGCCTCCCAAGTAGCTGGGTCTATAGGTACCCACCATGATGCCTGGCTAGCTTTTCTATTTTTAGTAGAATACTCAGGGATGTTCTCGAATTCCCGAATTCCAGCAAACCATCACAGACGTGAGCCACTCTACCCAGCCAAGAAAGGTTAACTTTAAACAAATAATGCTTTGGGAATGCCTAACAGGGTACCTGGTTTCCTTTGAGCTTCATTAAAGCTTCCCCAAGGATATAACTTTTCAAGCCAACCCAGAGGATGAATAAGCCTTAGGTAACAAAGGAGGGAGGGAGAGTTCAGTCCAGCCAGGGCAACAGCACAAGGAAATGCCTCAAGGTAGGAAGAGGTTTGCCTATGGCTTGGCTAATGGAAAGGCTAGTTGGATCCTAAGGAAGCTAAGGAAAAGAACAGGAGAACTGGCATGTAAATCTGTTCAAAGGTGATTCTAGCTGCAGGAGAGGAGCGATGGGAGCAAGAAAGTGTGTGGAGAAACCAGGCAGGAAGCTATTTCATCTGAGCAGGAGATGTTCTGATTAACCTCCTAATAGAGGGAATAGAAGTGTGTAGGTCAATGAAATATTTAGAAGTTTGAATGGACTGAGCTTGGGTAGGGAAACGAGGCATAAGATGGAATCAAGCAAGGTTTTTGGCTTAAAAAACTCAGTAGATGGTGGCACTCTTGGGTGGATCTGGGGAGGAAAATGAGAGTTCAGGTTCATCCAAGGTGGCTGTGGGCAGCCACCTGGGGCTGTTAAGTAACAGGTGGAAATAAAGCTCTGGAGCTTGGATGCCCTATGGGTGCAGAAGAGGACCATCTTGGACAAGGGTAAAATGAGTGTCTAAGAACCCTGGAGACTTTCCACTATGAAAGCTTATTAGAGAGGTTAGGGAAAATCGAACAAAGGGACTCAGCAATATGGTCAACCAGGAAGGGGGAAAGCCAGGTGGAGTCTCTTTTAAGAAGGGAGCGGTTTGATATGCAAAACTGATGTGACTGAATTTAGCAGGGCACAGTTAAATACAGGAAAGGCTGTTACAATCTGGGATTTTTCCTAGGAGGCCTTCATGAAAGCCAGGCCTGAGGTGCACCTGAGCGTGCTATATACAGGAGAGGGCCCGGCTGTGACCTCCCGCTTCCTAGACTGTGGTGGCAACGCAGGGAATAGATTATAAAGAGAAACCAGGCTGGACAGAGATGGAGAGCAAACAGGAAGCAAAGGTATAATGCAGAATCAACATGATGTAGGCAGTGGATATAAGCTAAGGAGGGCGGGAAAGAGAGCTTTGGGGGAGCAACTGGGTGAAATGAGGTAGTAGGAAAAGTAGGATATGTGTTCACTAAAATACAGAGACGACTTTGGCCATGGTGAATCTGCCAGCCTAAGTGGCATGGGGTGGAAAGAGCAGGTTGTCTGTAGGCAATAAGACACACAGATCTTCAGGTCAGGGGAATATTCCAGACCATGAGAGTTCTGAGATGCTGACCTGTAATCTTGAATTTGGGTTCCTTTTTAACTCTTTAACAGCAGAGTTGAAAAGGATCTGGGACCAGATTTTGGGAGAGACGTGTCAGGGAAAGGGTGCGTCCCCCTGATGTCAAAGACGACTCTTAGCTCACTGCTATCTCAGTTTACCCCACAGATGGCTTTTCCCAGGTGCAGGCCCATAAACCTCAAGACTCTGGCCTCCTTTCTAGTGGGCATGAGTTTCTTGGCACTGCAGCAGTGGCTTCTCCAAGCCCCGAGGTCCCAGCAGCCGGAGGAGAAGAGGGACCGCCCCATCGATGCGCCCTCGGCCACCACGCAGCCTATGAACCCCAGTGTCACGCAACTCACCCCAGGACCCCAATGCGTGGCCAACACCTCCGCGAACACCATAGCTGACTTCGAGCAGCTACCCGCGCGGATCCAAGACTTCCTGCGGTACCGCCACTGCCGCCACTTCCCGCTGCTCTGGGATGCCCCAGCTAAGTGCCAGGGCGACCGCGGCGTCTTCCTGCTCCTGGCGGTGAAGTCCTCGCCAGTGCACTACGAACGGCGGGACCTCATCCGGCGCACGTGGGGGCAAGAACGCAGCTACCGCCAGCTGCCTGTGCGCCGCCTCTTCCTGCTGGGCACTCCGGAGACCGGGGACGCGGAGCGCGCCAAGCGGCTGGCGGAGCTAGTGGGGCTGGAGGCGCGGGAGCACGGCGACATGCTGCAGTGGGCCTTCACCGACACCTTCCTCAACCTCACGCTCAAGCACGTGCTCCTAATGGACTGGCTGGCGGAGCACTGTCCGCGCGCACGCTTCCTGCTCAGCTGCGACGACGACGTCTTCGTGCACACGGTCAACGTGCTCCGTTTCCTGCAGGTGCTGCCGCCGGATGAACACTTGTTCACCGGGCAGCTCATGCAGGGCTCGGTGCCCATCCGCGACAGCCGGAGCAAGTACTTCGTGCCTCCGCAGCTCTTCCCGGGTAATGTCTACCCGGTGTACTGCAGCGGCGGCGGCTTCCTCCTGTCCGGCCCCACCGCCCGGGCCCTGCACGCGGCAGCCCGCCACATCCCACTCTTCCCCATCGACGATGCCTACATGGGCATGTGTCTGGAGCGCGCTGGCCTGGAGCCCAGGGGCCACGAGGGCATCCGCCCCTTCGGTGTGCGGCTGCCAGGCGTCCTTCACGACTCCTTTGACCCCTGCATGTACCGCGACCTGCTGCTTGTGCACCGCTTTACACCCTACGAGATGCTGCTCATGTGGAAGGCATTGAGCAGGCCTACGCTGAGCTGTGGCCAGAGACACATCGTCTCCTGAGGCTGGGTGGGCTGCTGGGTGGATGAGCAGCCTCAGCCCCCAGGGCTTCTTCCCGTGATGGGTTCCATGCTGAGAACGTCTTTTCCTGCTCTGGATTATCTTCTGCCCCTACCACCCAGCCGTGCGCATCGAAACAGCTGGCTGTGGATTAAAAGCTGGCTGGGGTCGGGGTAGAGGTTGGGAAATACCTAAGTACTGGCCCCATCACCAAAGGTTTTGGTTTTGTTGGCCTGGGGTGACTCCAGACACATAGATAGATAGATAGATATAGATATAGATAGATAGATAGATTTCTTTTTCTTTTCTTTTTTTTTTTCTTTCAGTTTTTGGCCAGGGCTGGGTTTGAACCCACTACCTCCAGCATATGGGACTGGAGCCCTATTCCTTTGAGCCACAAGTGCAGATATTTTTTAAATTCCTCAGGTGAGCCTAATATGCAGCTAGTGGGGTTAAGGGCCAGGAACATCTGTTCCTCCTTGCAAACCTGGCCCCAGTGTCCCCTCTACAAGCTCTCTGGGACACCCAGCTCCCCAACTCTGACTAGACGGTGGGCAGTGGAGCAAGTGTGGTACAAATATGAGCTGTCATTTCCATGGTTTCCTCTACAAACACAGAGGACAGAGCTAGAGCTGGGCTGACAGTCATCAGATGAATCCCTTCTCAGAAGTCAGCCATCACTTGGGTCTGAGGGGCTTCTGAAAGCCTTCTTCCCACCACTGCCTCAGTATCCCTCTGAGGTCAAAATCTATACTGTGCAAAGTGGAAATCTGAGCCTCAGTTGGGACAATGACTAATCCAAGGCCATGTAGACATTTGCAGAAAACAGACCATTGTAGTCCCCACCACACTCACCCTGACCAAAGCTAATGGCTGTTTGGGTCCTTGCCGGTATATACTTGCCAGCCAGCCCTCCCTCCCAGACAGTAAAGACAGGCTTTTTGCCAGGGTCTGGGTGTCGGTGTCAATCAGCCTTGGAAAACAAAGCTGGGTGGTGATCTGGGGGCAGGGAGTGGGAGGTGTGACATGCCAGGGAAAGCAGTGCTTGGAAAGCCTGTGAAGGTCAGCATGTGGAATTGTGTCTAGGGCTGAGGGATCTGGAACAGTGGTGGACAATGGTTAGGGAGTGTCAGGGGTGGCTGGAGAGTCTGCAGTGTACAGTGAGACCAGACTGTGGTCCTAACCTCCAGCAGCTGCCAGTCGTCTTGGCAAAGTAAGAAATCAAGAAAACAGCTTAAGAGAAGGCAGAAATTTGTGTTGCCAAGGTCCCAACTATGCAAGACAGATGAGAGGCTCTCAACTTCAAAGAGGAAGGAGCACGGACAAGAAGTCAGGAGACTAACCAAATGCCTTTCCCTGGCTTCAGAGCAAAGTCCAGACCCCTCAGGCCAGCACTTAAGGTTCTTGGCTATATTACTAATCTGTCCATCCTCACCCTCTCCATTTCTCCCCACTATCAGACTCCATCCAGGGGAACCATTCTCAACATCCCTGCTTTGTTGGGCTCTCTCCTGCCTCTGAATCTTTGCACAAGCTCTGATTTGGTTACGTAAATATCCCCCAGTCACCACCAGCATCCCTGTCTCTTGTGTCAGTTAGTATGTCTGTGATGGAGGCTGCTACCTATCTGCCAAAATCTGCTACTCCCTACTCCTCTCCCCATGCACACACTTGGAATACATTTCTAGCATCCCTACCCCCATGCAGCTAGATGTGGACAGCATCCCTGTCCTCTCCCCACTAGAAGCCAGTATCACAACCACACGGCCCAGACACAAGTAGACATGAGGAGGACCAGTCCTGGGCCTGTCTGTGCTCACTTCCTCCTTCCACTGGGCTGGAATATGGGTGGGCTAGTGACCCAGCTCTGACTTAGCAGATGAGGATAACACTCCAGGCCTAGGATTCTCAACTGTTGGCATTTTGGGTAGGGGAGTTCCTTTTTTTTTTTTTTTCTTTTGTTCTGTGCATTATAAAACATTTAGCAGCATTCCTGTCCTCTACCCATTAGAAACCAGTATCACAATCAAAAAATTTCCAGACCTTGCCAAGTTTACCTTCTTAATAACCACTGGCCTAGAGAAAAGCAGAACGTCATGAGGGTTTCTGAGTCACTGCATAGGAGTGGACTTTGATCACTGATCATGGACAGACTTGGATGCTCAGCCCAGTGAGGAAAACAATAAACTGGAATGCTTTTTTGAGCCTCTGTATCTTGGTTGACTCTTTGTTATAGCTGCTTTGCCCTCCCAGTGCCTTAGTCCATCAGGCTGCTATAGCAAAAAAATACCATAAACTGGGAAGCTTAGAAACAATCATTTCTCACAGTTCTGGGAAGTCTGAGATCAAGGTCTCAGCTGATGCCAAGTGTGGTGAGGTCCAATTCCATACCACCTTCTAGCTGTGTCTTCACATGGTGGAAGGGTGAACAGGCTCTCAAGGCCTTGTTTTTTGTTGTTGTTAAGAGATGGAGCTTCTGCCACTGTGAGTGGAGCATAGGAGGATGATCATAGCTCACGGCAGCTTTGAACTCCTGAGCTCAAACAATCCTCCCACTTCAGCCTCCTAAGTAGCTGAGACTAAGGCACTACGATGCCAAACTAATTTTTAAATTTTTTTTTGTAGAGATGGGTGTCTTGCTAGATTGCCCAGGCTAGTCTCAAACTCTTTTTTTTTTTTTTTTTTT